CTCTCTCTCTCTCTCCCTCCTCTCTCCCTCTCTCCCTCCCTCCCTCCCTCCCCTCCTCCCTCCCTCCCTCTCTCTCCCTCCACCCCCTCCCTCCCTCCCCCCCCTCCCTCCCTCTCCCCTCCCTCTCTCTCTCTCTCCCTCTCCCCCTCCCTCTCCTCGGCTCGTGGGGAATGGTTCCACCGAGCAGAATATTTGCATCTTCGCCCTGCGCGTAATTATTGTCACACGCCCGATCAGCGAGACACATGAGGCGGCGGCGGTTAACCTCGGATCTCGCGCGGGTGAATTTATACTTCCGGCGTCTTCGAATTGCGACCTTATCGGCATGTTACTTGCAAAAGGTGAGATGTATATATATATATTCTAGGATCATTCATTAAAACACACACACACACACGCACGCACATATACGCACATACAGACACACAGACTCTCTCTCTCTCTCTCTCTCTCACACAATACACACACACACACACACACACACACACACACCACACACACACACACACACACACACGCGCGCGCGCGCGCGCGCGCCACATACACACGTAAATATCCATACACGTAGACACAAAGTATACATAAAAATAGTTTCATTTAAATTTCCTTTAGAAAATAAGCTAAAAATAGTGTTCAACAGCGGCCTAACCCTCTCTGCCAATACATATAAGAAACAGAATTCTTTTAATCCGACTTACCATGCGTCCTTTTTCACAAGCAGTGCACAGCAGTGAGTATAATTCTAAATTCAGGTAAATACACCTGAATATGAGAAAGGGAAGAGGGAGATCTCCAGAATATGTGCTAGATGAGAAAGGAGGGGGAGATCTCCAGAATATGTGCTAGATGACAAAAGGACGGGGAGATCTCCAGAATATGTGCTAGATGACAAAAGGACGGGGAGATCTCCAGAATATGTGCTAGATGAGAAAGGAGGGGGAGATCTCCAGAATATGTGCTAGATGACAAAAGGACGGGGAGATCTCCAGAATATGTGCTAGATGACAAAAGGACGGAGATCTCCAGAATATGTGCTAGATGAGAAAGGAGGGGGAGATCTCCAGAATATGTGCTAGATGAGAAAGGAGGGGGAGATCTCCAGAATATGTGCTAGATGAGAAAGGAGGGGGAGATCTCCAGAATATGTGCTAGATGGGAAAAGGCGGGAGATTATAAAATGTGCTGGATGAGAAAGGAGGGGGAGATCTCCAGAATATGTGCTAGATGGGAAAAGGCGGGAGATTATAAAATGTGCTGGATGAGAAAGGGAGGGAAATCTCTATAAAATGTGTAAGATGAGAAAGAGTTAGTAGTAGGGAGGTTTCTCAATAATAAAAGTATTAAATATTAACCAATGATATATATCCTATGTATGTGAGGATTCTAACCATAATGAATTTTTCATTAGAACCCACTCAGTAGAGATAGCTATGTACTTATTATCTGCAATGATCGAGAAGTTCTAGGCATTATGGTAACAACAACAATAACAACAATAATAATAATATAATAATAATAATAATAATAATAATAATAATAATAATAATAATAATATATAATAATAACAATAACAGTAACAATTGTAATAATGATGACGGCAATGATGATAATAATAATGATGATAATATTAGTTATAACAGCAGTAATAATAATAAAAAAAAAAAAAATAATAATAATAATAATAATAATAACAGTAATTATATAATAACAATGGCAGTGATAGTAGCAATAATAATAATAACAAAATAATAATAACTGATGATAATGATGATAATAATAACAATAACGATAAATATGATAATAATAATAATAACTACAATAACGATAATGCTAATAATAATAATGATAATGATTAGGCATCAATACAAGAAACGTACATAAATAATAAAAATAATACTTTAATAACATTGCATTGATATCTCTATTTAGAAAGTCATTTAAGATTCGTCAACAATAATATCACCAATAACAATAAAATATACATTCACAACATCAAAAACATCAAATACAACAGTAATATGAAAATGGAATTATATTTCTCAAAGTCAGCAACATCAACAGCGACATCGACATTGGCATTATTAATCAGCATTATTTTAAATATTAAACGCAACAAATACAACTGTAAGTATGTGCACACATAAAAAATAGTGTGTGAATAAGAGCATATACAGTTTTATATTAGTATCCCATCCTCTAACACTTTCCAGTTTTCTGTGGAAGTCGGCGACGTGTACGTTTTCTTTTACAAAGTCCAAACCCGAGAATTACTAGTCCGTATACAGGTTGCAGCTTTAATATTCGAGTTTGCTCAACAGGGTAACATTTTACTATAGATTTATGCAAATATTAAACTGTAGATTGTATTTATCGTTTTCATTCGTACACACTGGAAATGCCAGGTTCACAAGGGAATTTCCGCGTAAAGACACCAATGTAGCATCAAGCCTTCAACACTGACAGAACTAAAGAAAATAAACTAGCATAACCAACGGCTGAATTGTAATTACTCTAAAATAAGTCCAATACATTTCTGATTAAAGATATCCGATTCCGATGCTAGTCTAAACGGTCACACGACCGGCACAACTGAGTTAACTTTTAATAGTTTTGGGGATTTACCAATGCCGTGAATGATGACATAGCATAGCTCCTAGCACTTAAAACTTTTCGCACAAGTGGCTCCCAAGCTCAGAAGATGGCGGTCTTTACTAGCGGGTAAGCGGCCGGATCGCAGCTAAAGAAAATGTACCAACCTACAGGGTAGACTCTGCTATCCTGCAAAAAAGGACGCCAATTTCTTCTCAAACAATGCCAATTCGTCGATATATTGTTTTTCTTCTTAGTCATAAGTTAAAATCAAAGCACTATAGGAAACCGTATTTTCTAGAGAAGGGAATACAACTCAAATGAAGAGTATACCCGCATTTACAGCATTACACTTCTTAACATACAAAAAACCCAAACCCCTTACATCAATGTATAATAAAAAAAAAGGAAGTAGATGCACTCAAC